TAGGTAAATTTGTGACTATAAATTATAATTCCTTTTATAGTTAATTTAAAATCTGTCCTGTCTTGTTCATCTCTCCCTGTAGCTTATGGGGCGCTCTTGGTAGAGTGGGTTTGACACTCTGGGTGCCCAAGACACAGGCCAGAGTTTGCAAATGGCTACTACGTAGAAACTATTCATTGATTGATGTCGTTGACTATGAAAAATGTGAATGTCTCCTAGGAATTATTTATAAAGAAAGGCTTTTTAAAACCCAACAGAATATGAAAACACAGTCACACTATGAGAAGGATGATCACCTCTTTCTTAAGGCTGTGGGCAAGTTTCTCAAGTTCTTGGTATCCTGAAGAGTAAAATGGGGAAATAGCTGCTCCGAGGACTGTCGTAAGGCAGCACCATGTTAATGCACACATGTCACCAAGCCCAAGGCCCCAAGGCTTTCTCTGCAGTATCACCAGCTTCTAGCTGACTGTTCTGAACACAGCTTAAGCTCTGGTGAGATGAACATATCATGAATTTGAAGAATGAACACAAATTGATTTTACTCCTAAAGCAAGCAGGCTGCTTATCTTTAAAAGCCATCATCTCCTCCCTAGGCAGCCGATTAGCTCACCAATTATTACAGGATATAACAGAATTGGTCAAGGCCAAGGGCTTCCCAATAGTGAAAACCATTACGAGCATCAAACGACATATGCAAATTTGAGTTCTAATGACAGCCAGAAAGCAATCAGCCCAAATATTTTAGAGGATTTGAAAAAGATATTTTAAAAGTTTGTTCGAGAACCACCTTCATTGAGTTTAAGCTTTAGAGGCAAGTCAACAAAAAAAGAAAAGTTTAGGATGGATGTGTGTGGTTCGCACATCCTTCACATATCCACGCGTGTTCCGTCAGCGCCAGAGGCAGGAAACGGGTCTCTGTGATCCCGAGAGCTGCTAAAACTAGAGCTGGAAGAGGGCAGGGTCAGCTTGCTCACCGGGAAGATCATGTCTTGGTGTGTGAGGGATGAAGGTAGTGGGTGCTGTCAGCAGCGTGGGCCAGTTGGGGGTTTTATTGCAGCTCAAGTAACTGCCACTCAGGCTGGTCTTGAGCCAGGAGAAAGTGACGAGGAGAAAGTGACAAGATCTGGAGAAGGGGCAGAGCTGGGCTACCAAGGTGCCAGGAGGCAGGAAGGAGAAGGTCCCGGGTAATTCTGGATCTAACACTCAGGAGGGACAATGTCATTTGCCTGCTCAACAGCCACCCAGTCTCCCACTGGCTGCTGCTTCTTCGGGCTTGGAATGAGCAGTGAGCGGGGCTTGGGTGTGGGCCCTGGTGTCTGGGTATCAGCTGCTGGAGTTGCCCAGAGACAGAGGTTTGGGGAGAAGTCTGACGCCATCTTGGAAAGATGGAGAAAGAGAACCTGTAAAAGAGAGGGAGGGAGGTGGGGGAAGGGTGGGAGAGAGTCCGTCAGGTAGTGCAGAGCTGAAGCGAGGAAGGCGGTGAACTCTGAATGACAGATTATGTTCCCAGGGACTTTGGTTGTAAGGGGAGAAAAGATAAGTCAAAAGGGAGAGGCAGAGAGTAAAGGGGTTTTTGTTTTTATGTCAGGGAAGCACGGAGACCCACACAGGCCCTGGTCAGAGGGAAGAGAAGATTAGTGGGAACAGCTCCCCTGGGACTATGGGCAACGGGTGTCTTAGAATGGGCATTGGGAAGCCCCGAATCTGAGACTGAGGGAAAGGAAGAGAGGGCCAGTGAGGAATCCGGGCCCGGAGGTAAGTTTCCTCAGGGAAGTGGAAGGACGGGTGTCTCTGCTTTGGAGCCAGAGAGCAGAGTGGGGGACTGAGCGGTGGTGGCCAGAGGCTGGACGCGGCAGGCGAGGGTGCCGAGGGCAGCTGAGGACAATCGCTGAGAAAGGCCACAGCAGGAAG